GCTTTACTTAAGATGAGATCATCTTAGTAGATGTACTGCTTCCTTATCCGTAGTTCCATCAAGTTAAAGATATAACTGCTATAGTCAGAGAAGTTATCTTGGTTTGATACAACTGTCTTAGTAAGGTTACAGTTACCTTAGTGTTTGTCATTAGTTGTACATGTGATTGTTATGTAGAGGTCCACTTGAACAGCGGCCACGTCTGTACTACAAGCATGTGTGTCCTGCCACGTGGACACGCGCTAACATCAGGATGGCTGTATTTGATTGGGGAATTCATATCGATTATCGCATAGCATATTTGCAATATGCTACCAGGATATGCTACAGCACCTCACTCGGTGTAGGACAAAGGCTGAATGTCAATTAACAATGAATATATGACTGACCCAAATGCACGAAAACTAATTTAGTTTGTATCATTACATTCTGCACGGAAATGCAATAACCGACGCAATGACCGATCAGGTAATCAACGTTTCTCGTCATCTGGTACGTCGGCCCCAGGTGTGTATCCTTCTTGATCAATGCTCAACCGCCACCACTAGTTCTCCATCTGCAACGTCTTTAATAAGGGGGCGGTGGGGTAGCCTAGTGGTTAAAGCGTTCGCTCGTCACGCCGAAGGACCGGGTTTATTCCCCACATGGGTACAATTTGTGAAGCCCATTTCTGGTGTCCCCCGCCGTGATATTGCTGGAATATTGCTAAAACGGCGTAAAACAATACTCAGTCAGTCAGTCAGTCTTTAACAAGACTGGGGTGCACTGGGGTATAAAGAAGGCATTTCCTGTTCCGATTCTCAAAGAGAAGTGACCCTGTACTTCAGCCGAGTTTTTAGAATACGTTGATTCATGTAATTACTTCCCCAGCGTTGAATGTGGTTAAGCTAATTCAGTCAGATACCACACTTATAATTGACATGTAATCTACCCCGTTATCAGATCGAAAGTCTACGATTTCTTGTTTTACAAACGTACCATGGTACTTCACATGCGTCCTGTGTAAAATACTTATAATGGCGTAAACATAAAACTGAAATACATGTTAAATCATCAGTTAGATTAGGATTTAAATGGAATTGGTATAAGAAATTACCCTGACTGAACTATGTTCAAATATATTTGACTGCACATCATTAACTCATGAAATGTACATTATTATCCGCGTGTCATTACGTCTAACACCCTTCAAAATATAGTCCATTACCTACTTGCCGATGTGAGTGAGCTACTTTAGTTTTACGCCGCACTCAGAAATATTCCAGCGTTATCGCTTGCCGATGTGAGTGAGCGAGTTTAGTTTTACGCCGCATTTAGCATTATTCCAGCGTTATCGCTTGCCGATGTGAGTGAGTTTAGTTTAGTTTTACGCCGCACTCAACAATATTGCTTTATCGCTTGCCGATTGAGTGAGCGAGTTTAGTTTTACGCCGCACTCAGCAATATTCCAGCGTTATCGCTTGCCGATGTGAGTGAGTGAGTCTAGTTTTACGCCGAACTCAGCAATAGTTCAGTTTTATCGCTTGCCGATTTGAGCCTACTGCTATATGGCAAAGCAGATATCATGGCTTCATAAAATGAAGGCATATTTAAAGCAGTCCAAATCATATATGTACTAGTGTAAGTTACAGGGTATTAAACTCCCAAAAAATTCAGCCAGACCACGGATGTTAAACTTGCCAGCCCTGACCAAAACGTACCTGCCCGCAAATAATTTAGGTTTGACAAGCGACGTAGTTTATCATCAAATTGGAATTCATCATTTATTTTTACGATTTAATTAACAATGATTTATTATCCTGAAATATGATGAATATCTTCATATACATGTCTAAGTTTAAACCCGACCGACGGGCAGGTGAATTTGAGAATCTGGCAGTCTGTGTTGAAAGTAACCCGTCCCGGGAGGTCGGGCAAGCAGGTATTTCGAACGCTGGTATAAGACTTGTATTAGGACATTCAACATTCTTGTCCCCCAATCTCGCTCACTTTCTGTGAGTAGATGTATTTAAATATAAAACCCAAACATTTGATGACATGTCGGTTGATCTATCGCAACGGAGCTGAGCGCCTCAATCCGGTCCAAAAATATAATAACTACACACTCACGATACAACCAAGCGCATTCTGTTTCTAATATTCCCATAAGCCCATTAATAGCGACATAAGGGTTGAAATCGTATGTGCATCATTACCAAAGAGCGAAGAAGCAGTCACTTTGCCGAAGTAAGATAACACACCTTGACCCGAGGACGGCATACGGGGTCTGGTGATGAACGCCATCTGTCGGGAGTTTATACTTGGATGTACGTGTAATGGAACGTAAATACACACACTTTGATAATCAACATTTGGTGTTGAAGGAGGAATCACTGTGGTTTTACTGTTGACACAGTACACTGAAATACAGGGTTCTTCTGTATCATCCTCACTCTAGGACACCAGCCCTGGTGCGGCTGCGTATCGAAATGTTGCGCATAGAAGGACGGAACCCAGTTGTAAATGTTACTCCCGTATTGCCAACACTCGGGTTTTTACGCAGCGCAGAAACGTGCGTCCAGTCTACACAAACGTACAGAATGGACGCAGAAAAAATACATATTGTCTCCCAAGGGATGCACAATAATATTCTTTGTATTGAGTGAATATGGTTTTACGCTGCTTTTAGCAATATTTCAGCAATATCACGCGGGGACACCAGAAATGGGCTTCACACATTGTATCCATGTGGGGAATCGAACCCGGGTTTCTGGCGTAACGGTCCAACGCTTTAACCGCTTGGCTACCCAAATGCCCAATATTCTTTGTAACAGATTTTTGACAAGAAGTATGAGGTTCCTGTAATTAAAACGATTACTAAATCCTCAGTGCATTTCATTAATTCATACGACACACATATTTCTTGTAAGGACCCTTGACAGTCGTAACTGGGCGTTGTCTGGACCCCAACTTATCTTGGGCAAGGTGACACCTTAACCTACATTTCATAAGATTCAGTGTATGATGAGACAACGGGTAATCATGATTGTATGATACAACGGGCTTGTCAAAGCCAAATTACGCATACAATGTATATCCAATGCTAACATCAAGCCGATAACGGTAGCATGGATAATGAGGTCACAAGATAATTGGGCGATTAGGCCCTCACAACGGGCGATGAAGTCAAGCTGAGAACGCCGACTGTCATCACCATATGCAAATGAAGATTACCGTGATGTTTTTGTTCTTTGGATTGAGGCTGTCAAACTATATTGAAAATGTCAGTTACTTTCCTGACAACACTCTAAAAACCATTTTGTATTTTTGAACAAATTTTATTGTTAGAAAAAATATGTTCGGTTCCTACTTGCAGATTAAAGAGCATATGTCCTTAAATTGTTACCAAAAATATATTCTGTGTCTAAAAGAGATTCCGAACCCCAGAAGTGATGTGGGTCTGAGTCTCAGAGAGTAACTAATCAGTGGAAGCAGCAAGCAGGGGTATGGTGCTGACAAACGGAGAGACAGGTCTGACAGGGAACTGCAGTGCATTTGACGGCCTGACCACGTCTGTCCAGCAAATTATGGCAAAGTTTCGGCAAATATGGATTACTCTTTCAAAGCCTGATATACTTAAAGGTGCTGCCAGGTAGCCAAGGTGTTAGACTCTTGGCTCCTCTTTACGAAGACCATGGTTGTCCCTAGACATAAATTGGCGATTTATTGCTAGAACCCGTGTTCACTCACTCACACAAATACGTAACCTTAGGTGCGGGTTATACCATTTACCACCAATTCAGGTATGACACGTATAGCACGTCCCCTGGACGCCATCGAGGACTTTAAAGTCAGATAAGTTACGAATTTTCTGCAGATGTTTGATCTGTGGTTGAGTGAGTGAGTGAGTGAGTTTAGTTTTACGCCGCACTCAGAGATATTCCAGCTATATGGCGGTCTGTAAATAATCGAGTCTGGACCAGACAATGCGGTGATCAACAACATAAGCATCGATCTGCGCAATTGGGAACCAATGACATGTGTCAACCAAGTCAGCGAGCTTGACCACCCGATCCCGTTAGTCGCCTCTTACGACAAGCATAGGTTCCGGAAGATAAATGTGGATCTTCTGGGGTTGATAATGCGCGAGAAACGCAGTGGTGGCTGGATTGTTAAGCCATAATTATTAGGACTAAATACAACGCTTTATTTCGTTGATACGCCCCTGCTTGACATCATGAAGGGGCCTCAAACTGGGGAATCGAACCCGTATACCACTTTACCAATACCTTCATGTACATGTTTATCACTCGTGGAATACCAGCCAGGACCACGCTATGGTACCTTTAAACCTAGAAACACAATGGTACCTACCGAGCTGGAAATATGAGAGGACTGGAATTCTTACCCAGAGATAGATAGATAGATAGATAGATAGATAGATAGAACGTCACACAAGTGCATTTTGATGTTTTGTATTGAACGAGAAGATGTCATGGGAGCAGAGAAACAACGAGTTCGAAGTTAGAGTTGTTTCTCTGCTCCCACGACATCTTCGAGTTAAATACAAAACATCCAAAAGCACCAGAATGACGTTCTCTATTTATCATATACCCTCTTATCTTGCATTAATCTGTTACTTAACAAACAAATCATAGCGTAGCGGTAGGGGTTCAATACGGAATCTGTATTACTATCCTAAGTTTACATGTGTATATAATAAGACACAACACTACACAGCGACATTTAAACGATTGGCCCCGTAGCTGTTCCGGTAGACTAATGCTTAGTCTCTGAATATATATAATTTTGATAGTAACAAACAAGCCCATTTAAATTGAAAAGGAGCCCTAGGGAGACCAGAGATTCAGAACCTGAGGAAATCTAGACTTGCTTTATTTACGGCTTTAGCACTGCAGACAGGGCTTGGCAGTTGGGAAAATAATGTGGTTCAGGGACTGTGAGACAGACTACTGTTCCGGGTTCATACCACAAAATATAAGATTACATGTGTGACTTACTTGTGTCGCTGGCACGATCGTAATTCCCATGGAAGACCCACGTACACTCCCGGTAGTCACAGTAGGCCCACAGACCTCGGTGGGCAGGTTGGTGGTAAAAGTTGATATCGACATCCTTAATTTCCAGCCAGTATGGCGTGGCAAATGAAATTATGATACAAAGGTTAGTTACTACAAGTAAAATCAGTCCCAAGATGGCGCAACACGTGGTCATCATAGCTGCGGGTATTAGTTATATCCAGGTACTGATGTCAACTAAAAGGGGTGTGGTTCCAGGCACGGTGCGACGTTTGGGGTGGGTAATCCTAAGTATCCCGAGTGTAAAGGGTCCGCTGTAAACGATGAAGGAGAAACGTATTACTGAAGTTTAATACTCAATGTATAATAGGCACAATGCATCGGAATGAGGAAGTACACTAAGTCTTGCTGTTGCATTAGAAGTATATATACATATGTAACAATAATTTCTGAACGATTGTTCCACCAGATACGATTTCTAATAAAATGAAAAATAACAACAGGAAGGAGAATTATTTTTAAAAAGAAATAAAGAAGAAAAACGAAAAATAACAGATCAGTAATCGAACTATAGACACACATACAATAACGGTAAAACTGCTTCAAACTTGAACGTTTATGGACTACATAAAGAAACTCACACTTATGACACTGGAGGCGGGATACTGGCAAACGTGAAGATTCTCTCAAATATGCACCAAACTGAGTGATGCAGGAAGCAGACGGCTTGTAGATAAATCCAGGTTTGGCGCAGCTAAACGCCCACCACACAGCAAACGTGCCTGAGACTGACGGGTTACGACACCGTTCTAGTTGATGTCATAGGCTTCACGGAATCCTTGTAACTGCCAGCTCAGTATCCGAGCGATACCACTAATATCAACCTTCGGGGCTTCTCGCTAACGCACCGTACACTATGGTATTTGAGACAATTGCACACACTACTTGCAATCCCACCGCGGTACTATTGGCTCTTAATCGAGCGCCGTGAAGTTGTTATCGCGGAACGCCAAGAGAGTATTTCCTACCGAACATCCGCTAGGAGAGTGTGCATCCACAGGGCTATGCACTAGTTCCCGCACTCCCAAGTAGGTCAGCACGGCACTATGTCGTTCCCACACGTCTGTGTTGCAGTCACTGTCTTTCTAGCAATGGCGACTCCTGAAGCAGCTGAGAGTTACGCTGACATGGGTGCAATACTCTACGCAGCTATCCTTCTACAAGATGGACCCTTTCCTACCCCCACCAAATAATGTAAACTGATCCGCGTGCACGCGCGGCAAAACATGTCACGTGACCCAATGGCACGTCGTCCCTCGGCTTCCCTCACGGTACCTCCCAACTATTAATAGATTTGATTTTTGAACGATTCAACGCGTTTAAATATAAAGTTAAGATCAGCTGGTTGTTCTGTTATAGAAGGCAGTATGGAGTGAGATGTATGTTATTGGGCCTTGTGTTTTGATGGAGTAGGATACGGGTCTGCGACACGCTGCGACCCAGCATGCATGTGTTTATGGAATTTTTACGACCCCAGTGCTGTCGCGGCGGTCGATATATTCTGACAGGAACGAAATACGGGCGAGGCGATTTTCATGTGGTCGGAAAACACATTCTGTAATTTCAGCATCTGAAACTTGGGAAACGTCCATTTCTTAACGTGTGCGATGAACATATGAGTAAGCGATAGGCTTTAAACTTTGTATATTTTGGAAGTGCGAAATGCTTTTTTTCATAGCTTGTAATCCTCGTCAAACCTTGGCTACTAATTGCTGTGTAGGATAATAAACATTTCAGAACTTGTGCATTTCCAACCAAATATTCCGTAGTAGTGTTGGGAATTGGCTGAAATCTCACAATTGATGATTGCTTCATTACCAACGAACAATCATCGAAAAAAATTGGTTAGCGAGATTTTTCAGATTTTCCAATCCAGGTTGTTATTGCAGATATGTATAACATGATGCAACTTGCTACTTTAAAGTGATGACTAATATATCATGAACACAGACTTCCTTGAGTCTTAGAGAAATATTCAGTCATGGCTTTTCAGTTAGTGAAGTGAGTTTTCTAAGAATTAAACACGTTTTCAGGCCCTGACAATTTCTAAGATATGTTCCATTGTCAAGTTTTTCAAAGACTAAAACAGTAGTTAAAAAATCGTTTATGTTCGATTATGAGAAAATGTGATCGATTGCTTGGTCGTTTGGTCACTGCGACCAATCTTCGATTATTTCAATTAATCGGAACACCACTGTTCCGTAGTTGTCAGATCATAACCAGTCAAGCTTCCGAGTTTGGTTTCACCTTTACGTGAACAAGTTTTCCTCTGCTACTATGTTATAAAACATGAACTTTTTATGTAAATTCTTAAATCGAATCAAAGAAGTCGTTAAAGATATTTCAAACATACAGCATCTCCCATATACATATTACATATTACTGGCTTAGCGAAGGATATGAAAAATACAAAAATTGTCCTTTATGGTTCTTCCATTTTGCTTTCATGATCATCACTCTTATTTCTTTATATATTTGCCGACGGCAACCTCCATATGAAGACCACACGGCGATGCTGTTGGAAGCACTGGCATCAGATATAAACACCAAGTAAGTGCTGTCGGGCTGGAACAGGGATGTAGATGAGGAGGAAGTTGTTGGTTTTAGTTTCAGATATTGGACACTGTTACCGGTTGATGCTCGATGACGTTGATGACAGCACTGGTTGTGTGGACAACAGGTTGTAGCTGTATAACGAGGGTGTATGTGGAGTATGTGTCGTGTTAGGTGTTAAACAACGCGCAGAAAACAAAATGTACCCCGAATGGTATTGCTACAACGAATCTATGGTAAAATTAACCCATCTAACAATTGTTATAAATTTAAATTAGTAGAAAAATGTTATTATTTGAGCTACTGGTAACTTGGGTTGTATCACGAAACTTTCATTTACTCGTGAATCCACGCGCTGAGTATTTCCTTCATAGCGTGTTAGAAAGGAGAATTAATCGCTGTCAAAAATATATTTCCCTCTCAGGCGAACTATGTAGTATTTTATCCAGATCGTGTGAAGGAGGGACCATATATCGGTAATATATTGTCTCGGTGAGCCAGTCAAATATCAACATTCTGACATGGAGGTGAGATGACAACGATTATCTTGACTGTGATGTAGACGCTGGTTCTGCCGGTGGTGGTGGTAGCTGTGATGTAGACGCTCGTGCTGCCGGTGGTGGTGGTTGTGATGTAGACGCTGGTGCTGCCGGTTGTGGTGGTGGTTGTGATGTAGACGCTGGTTCTGCCGGTTGTGGTGGTGGTTGTGATGTAGACGCTGGTGCTGCCGGTTGTGGTGGTGGTTGTGATGTAGACGCTGGTTCTGCCGGTTGTGGTGGTGGTTGTGATGTAGACGCTGGTGCTGCCGGTTGTGGTGGTGGTTGTGATGTAGACGCTGGTGCTGCCGGTGGTGGTGGTGGTTGTGATGTAGACGCTGGTGCTGCCGGTGGTGGTGGTGGTTGTGATGTAGATGCTCGTGCTGCCGGTGGTGGTGGTTGTGATGTAGACGCTGGTGCTGCCGGTGGTGGTGGTGGTTGTGATGTAGATGCTCGTGCTGCCGGTGGTGGTGGTTGTGGTTGTGGTTGTGATGTAGACGCTGGTGCTGCCGGTGGTGGTGGTTGTGGTGGTGTTGGGATGATGGCATTACTTTCACCACGGTATGAGAGGACGATGAAGTGAGACATGATGTTGGAAGGAAGGTGATGTGACGTTGATGGTGATAATATGACGTGATGGGAATGCGATGCTGTGGGTTTAAAGGCGTGTTGTTGCTTTGATGAGGTTACTAGTGTGGTGGCTCCGTCAGAGTTTGTTGTGCAGAGTTATAACCCCTAGGCAAGCCAGACACCTTTGATCATGGGTTCAAATCTCAGGTTCGCCCTGGATTGCTAGCTTTCCAACACCGTTCCCATGATAGAAATCCAAGACCAGCATCACTGTCGAGCTTTCTTCCCATATGAAATATATTTGACTGATTCACCTGAAGTACCATAAAGAGTGGTAACAGAACTCACTCGGGCGTCGGGACGATACAGTCGCAGAGATGTTAAACATTATGGCTATTAGTGATGACGTGATGGTTTGGTGCTGTAGTAGCGTGCATTTGTGATGACGTCCGTGATGTTGTAGTAGTAGAGTTGTACGGATGTGGTGATGACGCCCGTGATGTTGATGACGTGGATGTTGTGATGACGTGTGATGTTGTAGTAGTAGAGTTGTACTGTGGTGATGACGCTGATGTACTAGCGGGTGTGGCGATGACGGCGTCACGGGATTTCATAGGGTTCAAACTCGCATGGGACTGGACTGAACTCTAACATTCGAGATATAAAAGCCACTGCCTGCAAATAAGGTTATTCTTGTATCCTGAATTCATTATTTTACTGAATGCTGCTGTCTGAATAATGTATGTATAGTATGACCAGAAATTATTGAAAATTTTAGGAATATGTTTAATTGGATTTCTAGTATAAACAACCTTGACCAGCTATCAAGTGCTTGATTTCATTCAAGAGACAACACCGTTAATCCCTTTTCATTAGTTTGTGAAGAGTTATCCCCCTTTGTTTACTTGCTAGCAGACGACATTTTCAGTGATCCTTACTATGGATGATTTAGAGAAGAGGAAGAGGAAGAGGAAGTTGATTTTAGAGTATTATAACAAGGACATCAGATCAGCTAAAGTGATTTCAAGTAGAACAGGCATCCCTTTGTCCACTGTTTATCGTGTTTTGAGCAATATTGCAAATAGATATGGCATTGAGCACCAGGCCCAGAAAATTGACTGTCGGTGACAGGAGGCGACTTGGTATTCTTGTTTCTAAAAACAAACGAAGGAGTTTAGAAAACTTAAGGCTGGATATGATTGATATAGGAACTGTGGCTGTCTGTAAGGAGACAATTAGAACTGAGCTGCATGCAATGGGTTGGCAGAAAATGTTGAGGAATTCTATCACCGATCATGAAACCTGCACAAAAGAAGCGAAGGTTGAACTGGTGCTTACAGCATAGAAATTGTAACTGGGACAATGTGATTTTCTCAGATGAAAGCTCTGTGTGGCTGTTTCCTAATACACTGAAATTATGGACCTAACAAACAGAAAAAACCTTTGTATTTTAGCGCCCAAAGTACAGTCCGAAATTTAACGTGTGGGGTGGCATATCTGTGTTAGGGGCAACGCCCCTCTGTGTATTTGAAGGGAATATGAACAGTGAGCGGTACACAGATATTCTCGAGGGACATTTACTTCCATCTGCTCACGTGTTCTATGGAAATGTTTGGATTTTCCAGCAGGACAACGACTCAAAACATCGTTCAAAGCATTCACAGGCCTGGTTTCGGACCCAAAATATGACATTATTAGATTGGCCAAGCTATAGCCCTGACCTAAATCCAATAGAAAATGTTTGGGGACTTATGAAGGAAAGTGTCAATAAGAAAAATCTGACAAATATTGCTGAAATGAAAGAAGAGGTGGTCCGATATTGGGACAGCATGGACCACGACTTTCTAACTTCTTTGATCAGTAGTATGCCCCGCCGCATTAAAGCCTGCATTGCTGCCCATGGTGACTTGACAAAATACTAACTGTTCACCTGTCTTTGAATCTGGAGTTATGTTCTGCTAATATTCACATTTAATACGTGAGTAATGAGTGAAAAAAAATTAAAAAATTACAATCTTTAAATTCTCAATAATTTCTGGTTGTACTGTACATGTATGATCACTGCATGAACATATAATTTATAAACTAGTTTAACAGACGAGAAGCTGTGTGAAATAGTACACTAATATCAGCGGCATCATCATTCAGGCGATAAGCCTACTGTGTTTCAATTAAGAGCAAGGTTATTTGTTGTGGAAACTTGGCAGCAAATTAAAAACATAGTCTGTATTTATCTGTATTCTATCGTGACCAAACTGTTTGGCGTTAGTCAAGGTTATGGGCATGTGTTAGGTTAATTGGTTTTAGTGTGTGGAATAAATGAATACTACAACCACTTTTTGCCTATTTTCTGAAAAAATGTAAACGAAAATTGTTTACTGAAATATACGTTTTTATGTTCAGTGTTCAGTGGGGGTTAAAACAACCCAAATTTCACCAAAGTTCTTCTGCAAAGTTTGATATTATATATTTAATTTATGCGTTGTCTATTTCGCCTATCCGAATGGCATGTTTGTCAAATTTGGAATTCATAAAGAAAGTGCAGCACACACGCCCATTTTTTATACAGTCGTGCATGGAAGTATTAGAGAAATGGTAGCAATAAATGGTAACAGTATCATTATTAGCATCGTCATCGTCTCCATCATCAACATCGTCATCGTCTCCATCATCAACATGGTCATCGTCTCCATCATCAGCATCGTCATCCTGTTTAGTGTACAGGTAGTGGCACCATAAGTAGAACTAGCGTCATCATTAACGGCAGTAGCGTCATTATCAACAGGAGCACTATTTCCAGTATCAGCGACACCATTAGCGGCAGTCGTGACATTTGTAGCGGTACCATTTGCAGTAGCAGATCATAATGGGGGCACCACTGGCAAAAGTAGTCAGGTGACTGGTAGGGGCACCACTGACAACACCAGTCAGGTCAATGATAGGGGCACCACTGACAACACCAGTGAGGTCTTTAGTAGGGGCACCACTGACAACACCAGTGAGGTAATTAGTAGGGGCACCACTGACAACACCAGTCAGGTAACTGATAGGGGCACCACTGACAACACCAGTGAGGAAATTAGTAGGGACACCACTGACAACACCAGTCTGATAACTGATAGGGGCACCACTGACAACACCAGTGAGGTCATTAGTAGGGGCACCACTGACAACACCAGTGAGGTCATTGGTAGGGGCACCACTGACAACACCAGTCAGGTAACTGATAGGAGCACCACTGACAACACCAGTCAGGTCATTGGTAGGGGCACCACTGACAACACCAGTGAGGTCATTGGTAGGGGCACCACTGACAACACCAGTGAGGTAACTGATAGGGGCACAACTGACAACACCAGTCAGGTCATTGGTAGGGGCACCACTGACAACACCAGTCAGGTCATTGGTAGGGACACCGCTGACAACACCAGTCAGGTCACTGGTAGGGGCACCATTGACAATACTAGTCAGGTAACTGATAGGGGCACCACTGACAACAGTAGTCAGGTCATTGGTAGGGGCATAACTGACAATAGTAGTCAGGTCATTGGTAGGGGCACCATTGACAATACTAGTCAGGTAACTGATAGGAGCACCACTGACAACACCAGTCAGGTCACTGGTAGGGGCACCATTGACAATACTAGTCAGGTAACTGATAGGGGCACCACTGACAATAGTAGTCAGGTCATTGGTAGGGGCATAACTGACAATAGTAGTCAGGTCATTGGTAGGGGCACCACTGACAATAGTAGTCAGGTAACTGATAGGAGCACCACTGACAATACCAGTCAGGTCACTGGTAGGGGCACCACTGACAATACCAGTCAGGTCACTAGTAGGGGCACCACTGACAATACCAGTCAGGTCATTAGTAGCGCACAATAGGCTGTAGTGGTGTCAGTAGGAGGAGCACAATTACCTGTAGTACTGTCATTAGTAGCGCACCTTAAGCTGTAGTGGTGTCAGTAGGAGGGGCACAATTACCTGTAGTACTGTCATTAGTAGCGCACCTTAAGCTGTAGAGGTGTCATTAGGATAAGCACCATTACCTGTAGTACTGTCATTAGTAGCGCACCTTAAGCTGAGGTGTCATTAGGATAAGCACCATTACCTGTAGTACTGTCATTAGTAGCGCACCTTAAGCTGTAGAGGTGTCATTAGGATAAGCACCATTACCTGCAGTACTGTCATTAGTAGCGCACCTTAAGCTGACAGAGGTGTCATTAGGATCAGCACCATTGGTAGTACTGTCATTAGTAGCGCACCTTAAGCTCAGGTGTCATTAGGATAAGCACCATTACCTGTAGTACTGCTGTCATTAGTAGCGCACCTTAAGCTGTAGAGGTGTCATTAGGATAAGCACCATTACCTGTAGTACTGTCATTAGTAGCGCACCTTAAGCTGTAGAGGTGTCATTAGGATAAGCACCATTACCTGTAGTACTGTCATTAGTAGCGCACCTTAAGCTGAGGTGTCAGTAGGATAAGCACCATTACCTGTAGTACTGTCATTAGTAGCGCACCTTAAGCTGTAGAGGTGTCATTAGGATAAGCACCATTACCTGTAGTACTGTCATTAGTAGCGCACCTTAAGCTGTAGAGGTGTCATTAGGATAAGCACCATTACCTGTAGTACTGTCATTAGTAGCGCACCTTAAGCTGTAGAGGTGTCAGGATAGGAGGGCACCATTACCTGTAGTACTGTCATTAGTAGCGCACCTTAAGCTGTAAAGGTGTCATTAGGATCAGCACCATTACCGGTAGTACTGTCATTAGTAGCGCACCTTAAGCTGTAGAGGTGTCATAAGGATAAGCACCATTACCTGTAGTACTGTCATTAGTAGCGCACCTTAAGCTGTAAAGGTGTCATTAGGATCAGCACCATTACCGGTAGTACTGTCATTAGTAGCGCACCTTAAGCTGTAGAGGTGTCATTAGGATAAGCACCATTACCTGTAGTACTGTCATTAGTAGCGCACCTTAAGCTGTAGAGGTGTCATTAGGATAAGCACCATTACCTGTAGTACTGTCATTAGTAGCGCATTAAGTAGGTGCATTAGTAGCGCACCTTTAAGCTGTAGAGGTGTCATTAGGATAAGCACCATTACCTGTAGTACTGTCATTAGTAGCGCACCTTAAGCTGTAGAGGTGACATTAGGAGGGGCACCATTACCTGTAGTTGCGTCAACATTGTCAGGCACAGAGTAATCATTATGAACTAAACATAAGCACTAATGTCGATGGTAGGGGCAGTAGCAGGAGTTACGTCATCATTAGAAGCGTCTTGATTAGCAGTAGCAGTGTCCCGTTTGACAATACACGCTACTCTCTGTCAGCAATGGTCATGTAATCTACCAGAACAGGACAAGGTATTCACACTTCCATATCGGGGGAAGGGATCAACACAATATCGAATGTAGCGCCATTACCGTTTGAATTTATCAGGTTTTTTTTGCTTTTTAACATACCGTGTCCAGTATCATACAACACTGGCACTGAATCAGTGAAAATATGTGTCATGTATCTCAATACTTTATTTTAACCCACTCAAAGCTTACAGAATGAATTTGTGTTCATGAAAGAGTGCGGCAGAAGTTGTCTCCCCTTAAATGCAAATCGCGCATAAAATCATGTTATCAGTGTGGCGGATAAAGCATGTGCCGTTTGAAATGGGAATGCCACTGTCACTGACATTCGTCACCACTCGCCCCTTTCCGTAACCCCCAAGAAGAACCTCCCCCATCCATGAATACTATGTGCAAAAGTACGACCCAGCAAACGGAATGTCCAGGTGTTAAGTGTCTGATATCCGCAACAGTTCTTGTGGAACAAGTTAGTACAAGTCAGGCATCACCCCACAACTACTGCCCTAAGCCAAGGTGACAAAAGTCTCCAGATGATTGGCATCATATAGATAATCGTCGTCGTCACCATCCGTGCAGGGAGGTCAGATTCAGAAAGGTCTTTGTCTTGTGTTTCCTTTCCTTTCAATCTGTTTCAAGAGTCTGAACAACTTTTGTTCTTCTAAATTTCTAATGGCACTACAGCTAATGGTGCCCCTGCTAATGATACTACAGCTAATGGTGCCCCTCCTAATGGCACTGCAGCTAATGGTGCCCCTCCTAATGATACTACAGCTAATGGTGCCCCTCCTAATGGCACTATGATAGCTAATAGTGTCCCTGCTAATGATACTACAGCTAATGGTGCCCCTCCTAATGACACTACAGCTAATGGTGCCCCTCCTAATGATACTACAGCTAATGGTGCCCCTGCTAATGACACTATGATAGCTAATGATGCCCCTCCTAATGATACTACAGCTAATGGTGCCCCTACTAATGACACTATGATAGCTAATAGTGTCCCTGCTAATGGCACTACAGCTAATGGTGCCCCTCCTAATGATACTACAGCTAATGGTGCCCCTCCTAATGGCACTACAGCTAATGGTGCCCCTCCTAATGATACTACAGCTAATGGTGCCCCTCCTAATGATACTACAGCTAATGGTGCCCCTCCTAATGATACTACAGCTAATGGTGCCCCTCCTAATGGCACTACAGCTAATGGTGCCCCTCCTAATGATACTACAGCTAATGGTGCCCCTCCTAATGATACTACAGCTAATGGTGCCCCTCCTAATGATACTACAGCTAATGGTGCCCCTCCTAATGGCACTACAGCTAATGGTGCCCTCCTAATGGCACTGCAGCTAATGGTGCCCCTCCTAATGATACTACAGCTAATGGTGCCCCTCCTAATGGCACTACAGCTAATGGTGCCCCTCCTAATGGCACTACAGCTAATGGTGCCCCTCCTAATGGCACTACAGCTAATGGTGCCCCTCCTAATGATACTACAGCTAATGGTGCCCCTCCTAATGATACTACAGCTAATGGTGCCCCTCCTAATGGCACTACAGCTAATGGTGCCCCTCCTAATGGCACTACAGCTAACGGTGCCCCTCCTAATGATACTACAGCTAATGGTGCCCCTCCTAATGATACTACAGCTAATGGTGCCCCTCCTAATGATACTACAGCTAATGGTGCCCCTCCTAATGACACTACAGCTAATAGTGCCCCTGCCAATGGCACTACAGCTAATGGTGCCCCTCCTAATGATACTACAGCTAATGGTGCCCCTCCTAATGGCACTGCAGCTAATGGTGTCCCTCCTAATGATACTACAGCTAATGGTGCCCCTCCTAATGGCACTACAGCTAATGGTGCCCCTGCTAATGACACTATGATAGCTAATGATGCCCCTCCTAATGATACTACAGCTAATGGTGCCCCTGCTAATTACACTATGATAGCAAATAGTGCCCCGGCTACTGATACTACTACAGCTACTGGTACCGCTGCTAATGACACTATGATAGCTAATGGTACCCCTCCTAATGACACTACTACAGGTAATCCTGACCCTACTATTGACGCTACGCCTTCTAATGTTGTCCCCACTCCGCTAATTCAGAATTTTGCTGCTGTTACCACAAAGGGTGTCACTGCTAATTATGACGCTAGTACTGTCAGTAGTGCGCCTCTACTACTACTGCTTATGCATTCTCTTCCCACAGGGGTGGGGCGGTGGGGTAGCCTTTCCCAACTGCCAAGCCTAGTCAGTCAGTCAGTCCCACAGAGGTTACTTGTCATATCTTCCTACGAACCTCTGTTCTAATACGGCCATATTTCCCGGTTCTCGTAAAATCCCCTAGCGGCAAAAGATCGCAACACGAATTATCTCCCTTCTTTCTATCCAATCAGAACACGTGTTACATCGACTTAGATTCAACTTGACTAACACAAGCAAATGTGGGGCCACAAATATCCCCCATCTGCCGGGGACTTGTGTTGATGTTACACACAAGACGTTTAATGGCTAGCTTGTCCGTTGTCAACGAGGGCGATGGAGACGCCACTGATCCGCCATAACATGACTGAGTTCTGTCTAGAAGAAACGTTTGCGCATCGCGCAGGGGAAGAAGTTTAGTTTTCTCGAAGCATACGGAAATTACCGAGGCCTTGCGAATGATCACTTTTGAAACAACGTCGCTGATTGCACAACTACATCTGATTGCCTCCAATCACGAGTCTTGAACGCTCACACCATGAAAGGGCCGTATTAGAACAGAGGTTACGTAGGAAGATATGACAGGAGTAACCTCTGTGGGAAGAGAATGCTGCTTATGGTGCGGCTACTGATAATGCGGCTACTAACTACTGCTTACCCTGCTACTAACTACTGCTTACCCTGCTACTAACTACTGCTTACCCTGCTAATAACTACAGCTTGTGGTGCCGCTGCGAATGACTACACCTGCAAATGGTGCCGCTACTAATGATGACGTTACTACTGCTAATGGTGCCACTACATTTAAACTAAACAGGATGACGATGCTGATAATGATGGTACTTCTATTTACTACTACCATTTTCTCTAATACTTCCCTACACGGCTTTGAGATAAACTTTGATGAAATTTGGTTGTTTTTCCCCCACTGAACACTGAACATGAAAACATATTTTCCATACATCCGCATTCCTACCACAATATATTGCAATATTTATTTTTTTTTCGTTAACATTTTTTCTGAAAATCGGCAAAAAGTGGTTGTAGTATTAATTTATTCCACACACTAAAAACTAATTAACCTGACCCATGCCCATAACCTTGACTAACGTCAAACAGTTTGGTCACGATAGAATACAGATAAAAACACTATGTTTTTCATTTGCTGCCAAGTTTCCTCAACAAATAACCTTGCTCTTAATTGAAACACAGTAGGTTTATCGCCTGAATGATTATGCCGCTGATATTAGTATACTATTGTCTGGTAGATATGACAATTATTCCACACAGCTTCTCGTCTGTTCAACTAGCTTTTGTGTAATATGACAATTATTCCACCCAGCTTCTCGTCTGTTCAACTAGCCTTTGTGTAATATGCTGTTTCCTAATTCTTTTAGCAAGAAGGATGGCGAGGGAGCAATGGCGACAGTGGTAAGAGAAACCAGGAGACTCTACACAGACCAGGGATGGTCAGTTGGAACATGTGAAGGTATTTGAATGTTGATTATATCCGACATTGAAAGTCTCTAACAAATATAGTTGTAGACTAATGGTTTTAGATCTTGTAACGTAGTTACATATAAATTGTCAGTATATAGCAGGAATGTATCAAAATCAATGGCCATTACAGTTACATTCTTCACGTAGTTACTCACAAAATAATTACGTTGGGTTCTATATAATTAAGGATGTCATTGCCTCCGACATTTTACACATACATGGAAACGAAAATTAGAATTGTCATCATAATTGTCCTGTTTGAAACATGGTGAATATGATAATAATCAAAATAACGGTTGTCGGATTGTAATAATCTATTATAGAATCGAAATGAAGCCTTTTGGAGAATATGGACGAACAAGGGGGATGACCAACGTCGGCAGATAACCGGAAAAAATAGAAAAACAAAGAGAAGATGCTAAAAAGAACAGAAGAATCCAATCTGTAAGTTTCTGTAACTGGATTATATAGTATCATTTGTACTGGTTTCTGTAACTGTATTATATAGTATCATTTGTACTGGTTTCTGTAACTGGATTATATAGTATCATTTGTACTGGTTTCTGTAACTGGATTATATAGTATCATTTGTACTGGTTTCTGTAACTGGATTATATAGTATCATTTGTACTGGTTTCTGTAACTGGATTATATAGTATCATTTGTACTGGTTTCTGTAACTGGATTATATAGTATCATTTGTACTGGTTTCTGTAACTGGATTATATAGTATCATTTGTACTGGTTTATGCACTTTCTGACACCAGAGATTGAAACACCCCGAGTCATTTTATTGACTACATATTATCACATCACAACAAAACTGTAATAGAATGTATGAATAACTTCCTTATGCCATGTTATTACCCATAATGGCGATGTGTAATATCTAATTAGACCAAGTGCCGCTGTCAAGAATACATGTTGGACCTAACGTTCAGAATGCAGGAATTTCAATTTTCCCCCTAGAAACTCCAACACCGCCTGAAGACTCCAAGTACTATCAACTTGACTGAGAAAAGGAAAGAGAAGGTGGCTGCAGTCTTAACACCAGAGTTGACCTCGCCAGTGGTGTCCGACGAAGAGGACTGCAACCTTATTTTAATGGGTTTTCATGGGAAAGTGACAAGCTGCTACATTATACCACTCTACTGGACAATGACAAAATGGCCTCAGCATCCTCCAGAGCCAAAATGAAGACAAACACGATCCATTCAGTCCCAGCCACCTAAAGCCCTTCCATCCTGGACATTGAGAGACGATCAGGAGGAATATGATTCAGTATAGCTAGGTATAGGACAGAATGGGGGCTACATGAACATTTAGGCATTTTCCGTATTCACCCTCTGAACAAAGTTTGCTGTTTAAAATCTAAAATTAATATAAAACGAAAATGGATGTCCTTTATATTAAAAAAATGCCAACCCCTACTTTATACTTAAATTGAAGAAACTATTACAAAAATTCTAATCCATGGGGCCTGTGATGACCCCATTCCTTCACACCCTCCAAACATTTAGGTTCTGAATACAATTAAACCCGTTCCTAGAATAATAAATATTAATGTGTGTTAGTGTGCAAGTGGTTTGTGTGCAACTCATTCCCATATGTTAGTGCTATTTGTTTAAACAGTTTTGTTTGATATATACTGACAGGACTTTAACATTGTATTTTTGTAACATTGAAACTGACTATGAATTACTATGTGGACGGTGTGATGTATGGATGTTATTGGTTTGTGCTTTTTGGTGCGTGTGTTCCAACATGAATAAAGTGAAATCGACCGCCTGATTTTTTATTTGTTTTTGATGTCCAAGTGCAGTGCACCTGTAATAAATTATTACATATTTGAATGTAATATATCATATTTCAATCTTCATTGACTGTTGACATATGTAATGGTAATTACTGAATACTAATAATTGAAACCAAATGGAGCTATACATATTCTGATTTACTTTAAAAAATGGAACATGGTTAATGTGATTAATAGAAACGGAAATCAAGGGGAAACCTAATTGAACTAAGTAAATAACGAAACCAACTGAAAGTAAAGGATAACGGAAACCCAAATGATCCTCTTAGGAATCTTGGTAACTGAAACTCACGGAGCCTTCGGGAATCTAAGTAACTGAAACTCACTGAAGCTCCACGGGAATCTGGGTAACGGAAACTCACTGGAGCTCCACAGGAATCTGGGTAACGGAAACTCACTGGAGCTCCACAGGAATCTGTGGAACGGAAACTCACTGGAGCTCCACAGGAATCTGGGTAACGGAAACTCACTGGAGCTTCACAGGAATCTGTGGAACGGAAACGCACTGGATCCTCACAGGAATCTGGGTAACGGAAACGCTCCGGTTTCTGGGTAATATGTAAGTTTCCGTTTTCCGGAAATGTAGGGAAACAGTCCGGAAACCTAACTGAAACTTAAGTTTCCATTTTATTACCGTGAATATTTTTCATGCAGTGATCATACATGTACATACATTATTCAGACAGCAGCATTCAGTCAAAGAATGATGTCAGAATACAAGAATAACATCATCTGCAGGCAGTGGCTTTTATATCTAGAATTTTAGCGTTCAGTTCAGTCCCATGCGAGTTGGAACCCTTTGAGATCCCGTGACGCCGTCATCGCAACACCCGCTACTACATCAGCAACATCCTCACAATACAATGCTACTACTACAACATCACGGACTTCATCACAACACCACGTTACTACAACATCACCAACATTATAACACTAAATACTACGCTACCACGACAACAGCGCGACAATCATAACAAACCTTTCAGGTAAATCAGTCATGTATATTTCATATAGGAAAAGAGTTCGACGCGATGCTGGTCTTAGATTTCTATCATGGGAACGGTTTTGGAAAACTAGCAATCCAGGGTGAACCTGAGATTTGAACCCATGATCAAGCGTGCCTGGCTTGCCTAGACGTTACAACTCTGCACAACAAATTCTGACGCTTTAGAAGACGAAGCCCCCACACGAGTAACCTCATCAAAGCAACAACACGCCTTTAAACCCTCAGCATCGCATTCCCATCACGTCATATTATCACGATCGACGTCACATCACCTTCCTTCCAACATCATTTCTCACTCCATCGTCCTCACATGAAAGTAACGCCATGATCCCGCCACCACCACCGGCAGCACCAGCGTCTACATCACAACCACCACTGGCAGCACCAGCGTCTACATCACAACCACCACCAGCGGCAGAACCAGCGTCTACATCACAACCACCACTGGCAGCACCAGCGTCTACATCACAACCACCACCACAACCGGCAGAACCAGCGTCTACACCGCAACCACAACCACAACCGGCAGAACCAGCGTCTACATCACAACCACCACTGGCAGCACCAGCGTCAACATCACAACCACCACTGGCAGCACCAGCATCTACATCACAACCACCACTGGCAGCACCAGCGTCTACATCACCACCTGGCTGGCAGCACCAGCGTCTACATCACAACCACCACCGGCAGCACCAGCATCTACATCACAACCACCACCACTGGCAGCACCAGCGTCTACATCACAACCACCACCGGCAGCACCAGCGTCTACATCACAACCACCACCTGGCAGCACCAGCGTCTACATCACAACCACCACCGGCAGCACCAGCGTCTACATCACAACCACCACCGGCAGCACCAGCGTCTACATCACAACCACCACTGGCAGCACCAGCGTCTACATCACAACCACCACCACAGCATCTACATCGGCACCAGCCACTACACACAACCACCACCGGCAGCACCAGCGTCTGCATCACAACCACAACCACCACTGGCGGCACCAGCGTCTGCATCACAACCACCACCGGCACACGGGCACTGGTGGCGTCTACATCACAACCACCACTGGCGGCACCAGCGTCTACATCCACAACCACCACTGGCGGCACCAGCGTCTACATCACAACCACCACTGGCAGCACCAGCGTCTACATCAGACATCACACCACCACCACCACCAGCACCAGGGGCACCAGCGTCTACATGGTTAAAGCGTTCCACCGGCGAAGACCAGCGTTCGATTCACACCGGGTACATCACTGCCCACAACCGGCAGAACCAGCGTCTACACCGCTGGAATATTGCAAAAGCGGCACCACCACTGGCAGCACCAGCGTCTACATCACAACCACCACTGGCAGCACCAGCGTCTACATCACAACCACAACCACCACCGGCAGCACCAGCGTCTCATCACAACCATCACAACCACCACCGGCAGCACCAGCGTCTACATCACAACCACCACCACACCACCGGCAGCACCAGCGTCTACATCGCAACCACCACCACCACTGGCAGCACCAGCGTCTACATCACAACCACCACCAGCGTCTACAACCGGCAGAACCAGCGTCCACAGCGTCAACCATAAACCACCACCGGCGGCACCAGCGTCAGCGTCTACATCACAACCACCACTGGCGGCACCAGCGTCTACATCATCACAACCACCACTGGCAGCACCAGCGTCTACATCACCACCACAAACCACCACCGGCAGCACCAGCGTCTACATCACATTCCACCACCACTGGCGGCACCAGCGTCTACATCACAACCACCACTGGCGGCACCAGCGTCTACACCACAACCACCACTGGCAGCACCAGCGTCTACATCACACAACCACCACAGCACATCCCGTACTGGCGGCACCAGCGTCACGTCACACACCACCACCACCGGCAGCACCAGCGTCTACATCACAACCACCAACCACCACAACCACCACCGGCAGCACCAGCGTCTACATCACAACCACCCACCACCACCACCGGCGGCACCAGAACCAGCCGTCTACACCGCAACCACAGCCACCGGCGGCACCAGCGTCTACATCACAACCACCACACACCGGCAGCACCAGCGTCTGCACCGCAACCACAACCACCACTGGCAGCACCAGCGTCTACATCACAACCACCACTGGCAGCACCAGCGTCTACATCACAACCACCACTGGCAGCACCAGCGTCTACATCACAACCACCACCACAACTGGCAGAACCAGCGTCTACACCGCAACCACCACTGGCAGCACCAGCGTCTACATCACAACCACCACTGGCAGCACCAGCGTCTACATCACAACCAACCACCACCACCGGCGGCACCAGCGTCTACATCACAACCGCAACCACCACCACCACCGGCGCACCAGCGTCTACCACCACAACCACCACTGGCAGCACCAGCGGCACCAGCGTCTACATCACAACCACCACCGGCGGCACCAGCGTCTACACCACCAACCACCACTGGCAGCACCAGCGTCTACATCACAACCACCACTGGCAGCACCAGCGTCTACATCACAACCACCACCACTGGCAGCACCAGCGTCTACATCACAACCACCACCGGCAGCACCAGCGTCTACATCACAACCACCGCCACCACCGGCAGCACCAGCGTCTACATCACAACCACCACCAGCGGCAGCACCAGCGTCTACATCACAACCACCACCACAACCGGCAGAACCAGCGTCTACATCACAACCACCACCACCACCGGCAGCACCAGCGTCTACATCACAACCACCACTGGCAGCACCAGCGTCTACATCACAACCACCACCGGCAGCACCAGCGTCTACATCACCAACCACCACTGGCGGCACCAGCGTCTACATCACAACCACCACCGGCAGCACCAGCGTCTACATCACAACCACCACCACCTGGCGGCACCAGCGTCTACATCACACACCACCACTGGCGGGCACCAGCGTCTACATCACCACCACCACCACCGGCGGCACCAGCGTCTACATCACAACCACCACCGGCGGCACCAGCGTCTACATCACAACCACCACTGGCACCACCAGCCATCACAACCACACATCACACAACCACCACTGGCGGCACCAGCGTCTACATCACAACCACCACCGGCAGCACCAGCGTCTACATCACAACCACCACAGGCAGCACCAGGCGTCCACACCACCACCACCGGCAGCACCAGCGTCTACATCACAACCAACCACGGCACCGGCACATACATCAACCAGCGTCTGGCGGCACCAGCGTCTACATCACAACCACCACCACAACCGGCAGCACCAGCGTCTACATCACAACCACCACCGGCAGCACCAGCGTCTACATCACAACCACCACCACCGGCAGCACC